TCTCAGTGTTGTTTTCATCTACATCTCTTGAATGACCAGTGATGTGGAACATTTTTTCATATACTGCTGCTTTTACTTCTTTGTCTGAGAAATGTCTGTTCATGCGAGGCCTCCTTTACGGAGTGGAAAGAGTTAAGTACTGCCTTTGCTGGGATTACACTTTTCAGGGTAGCAATATGTTCAGCTTCTATAGAAAATATCACCTTCTTTGCTGTCTTATTGAAAGTTTTTTGTCTTTTCTGTCTCTGAAATTCTTCTAAAGTGTTACGTCTTTATCCATACCCCCTTTTCACTCTATTCCTAGGTCACCCCAAAACCAAAGCCTTCATCACTCATGGGGGAACTAATGGGATCTATGAAGCTATTTACCATGGGATCCCCATGGTAGGAGTCCCCATGTTTGCAGATCAACCTGACAACATTGCTCACATGAAGGCCAAAGGAGCAGCTGTGGAGGTCAACATGAACACAATGACCAGTGCAGACCTTATCAATGCCTTGAGGACAGTCATCACTGATCCATCGTAAGTACTGCTGCCTGTAATGACTGATCTTCCATTAACTGTATTTTGCAGCATACTGGAAAATCTGCAATATTTCGTACCTTTGTAATTGGACTGTTTCCAAATAAAGTAAAAATAATGTAATATGACTGCTAGAGAGTCACTTATTTAACCTCAACTGCTAAAGTGATTTTCTAATATTGAAGGATTTAAAAAAAATCAAACAGACTAAAAAAACTTTAAATGCTATATTGATTATATGATATTTTATATTAATTTTTCTGAATAATCTAATTTTATAAATAAATATTAAAATGTTAAGCAATAATGTGCCTGATTTTGATCATTCTAAAATAACTATAATTTTCAGCATTAGATGTTATTAATACTGTTTTTAAATAATAGTTGTTTCTGAACAATTGTCATATATTTCAGGATACTATAGAAATCATGTTTTCAGCAGAGGACTACTGTATCAGGAGTTTCTGTAATTCTTAATATGATATTTTATTTTTCAAATATATTAATATTGGTGTTGAATTGACTGTCTAGTTATCGTGTTTCTTTTTTACATACGAAAGTAGGTAATGTCCATGATTTCTTTAACTCTTGTGCATAAAATATTCATTGAATTTTATTATTCATTTAAAAACTATTGGTGCAAGAAAACATAACCACTTAAAAGTTCTAAGTATACTAAAAATTATTCAAAATCCTGTGAAGTTGTTGCTCCGAAACTGAATAGGGCATATTCAGGAGGTATTCTTTTCTTTAACCTTGAACTCTCTCAGATGCTCCTCCAGCTCTTGAAGCTGGCAGGCAGTCAGATCTCTTGGTGAAGCTGAATTGACCCTTGGAAAGATGTCTAAGAAATTCAAAGTGTATAGACACCGAATCTCTTTGAGTTGTTGCTTGTGAAAAGATTTGGCAAAGACGTGTGGACCTCCACTTCTTAAATCATGATGGAAATATTAATGAAGCTGCCATCATTGCTGCAGTTGTTGCCTTATGTCAATTCTGAAGACCTGGTGTCTCTATCCAAGCAGAAGAAGTCACACTGAATACACCTGAAGAGTGTGATCCTGTAGTGCTGAGCATCCACCTCATGCCCATCTGTGTCAGCAAGGAATATACTCGTTGGTGGATCTCAGTGAATGAGAAGAATGTGTTGTGGATGGCTTGCTGGTGATTGTCAGGAAGAAGCATTAAGAGATTTGTACCATCCAGTCCAGGGCTAGAATAATGCTACTAAAAGATCAGGTTCTGAGATGCAGTAAAATAGCCGGTGTGAAGGTAGCAGAAATTACAGAGCTAATACAGAAAGCTTTGGAGAATGACCAGAATTATGTAGTTAGAATTAATCACTCCTTGGTAAAGAAACCAGGACAAAGACAAAGGAAGATCAGGACGTACTTGTTAATGATCATGTTGGAACCCAGTCTTTCTTTCTAGGTTGGTTGGAATCAGGGGATTGCCTGTTAAAATAATTGCTGGCTTTAGGCCCATTGTTTCATATGCACTTGCAAACCTTAGCCATATTTCTTTCTCTCAATCCCAAGCATGTCATGCGAGCACCAGGACATCTCTTCCCAAACCCTGTACCTTCTCTCATATGGATGAATCCAGTAGGTATCTCTTACTAAAGTTACAAACAAAAGCGAAAGCTCCTCCTATTTTTAGCACAGTTATCAGGAAACTTGAAGTGAAAACATATCTTGCTTTTAATTACATAGACTTCTACCCCATGTTATCTGAGAAATATTTAGAGATCTTAACTCTATCATTATTGCTACTGTTATTTCTAATTGATAAGGACTATAATTCTGGAAAGAAATTTGTATTTAGTTTATCAAATTAGAGTCCACATACTTGGCTATTCCATTTTTGTTAATTATCCTAGTATTTTCACTCAGGGGTGATCTTACTGATACAGATATGTTTTTTTTTTAATTGCAAATATAAAAATGTATATAGAGGAGCAATTATCACAGTACAACGATCTCAGAACTGTAAAATGACTCATTAATATTCAATATAAGTTCTGTTTATCTGTAAAGTGAACTAGTCAGATGTTCGTGGCCATGTTGTGGATACTTTAAATTATATAATCTTTCATCATTGTGGTTCTGGATATTACAGTTCACATGACATCAACCTTTAACAGGAAAATTAGGCCATACTTTCACAACTGGATATGAATTTTCCTATATGCTTATTTGACCACATTGTGTTAAGAACACATTTCTTCTACATGTTCCTCTTTTTAACCCTTACAATCCTAAACAGTTAGCAAAGTTAATGCAATAATTCAACCTTTTCAGAATGTGTGCTTAACTTTGACCTGTGTGATACATAACCTATGTCACATACTTCCATTCAAGCAAAAACCATTTTTTTTTCTGTTTTACCCTCCTAGTTACAAAGAGAATGCCATGAGGTTAAAAAGAATTCACCATGACCAGCCAGTGAAGCCCCTGGACAGAGCAGTCTTCTGGATCGAGTTTGTCATGCGCCACAAAGGGGCCAAGCACCTTCGTGTTGCGGCCCACGACTTGTCCTGGTTTCAGTACCACTCTTTGGATGTGATTGGGTTCCTGCTGGCTTGTGTAGCAAGTGTCGTATTCTTGGTCACAAAGTGTTTCTTGTTTACCTATCAAAAGTTTATTAAGAGTGGAAAAAGGATAAAGAAGGAGTAGATCTTTCTAAATTGGGGAAAGACTTGAATTAGGCAATCCCATTGAATCCAGCCAACCTAGAAAGAAAGACTGGGTTCCAACATTATCGTTAACTAGTATGTCCTGATCTTCTTTTGTCTTTTTGCCCTGGTTTCCTTACCAAGGAGCTATTAATTCTAAATACATTCAATTCATAATATCATTAATTGTTAACTTTAAATGATATGATAAGAATATTTGGAGTCCAGGGAAAGACCCCCAGTGTACTTGGAATTTGATGAATGGAGGGAACTTGCAAGAGTCAGATTTCCACTATTCCAAAGACCACTTAGTCAACAATCCATCATCACAGGGGACTGATTGATGAAGGGAAGAGAAATGACTTTCTTTTCCAATAAAAATAAACTCTTTGGCTTGCCAAATGTTATAGGAATTAGAGCAAGAATTTACACAGTAATAATGCATCACAGTATGAAAGGTCTGTCTCCGTAATTTTTATTGAGCCCATTTAGATAACCATGATCCACTTACTTTCCTAGTCTTTTTCACAAATATTATTATATACTCTCTAGTGAGGCACAGATTTTGGGTCATTAAATTTCAAAAAGCAAATAAATAGAGTTTATTTTTTCAAATACAATTTGTAAAGGAAACAACAAAAAGAAATGTTCAAGAATATGGAATTTTGTGAAATTTCTAATTTACAAAAAGATCGATCACCTTAGTGTTAATTCATTATATTTAAAAATCAGTACAGTGTAATTTATAATTGATTTTTACAATAAAAATTTAAATGTTGATATCATGGCATGATTTTTCCAATCTCCCCCCACCATTCTTCTCTTTCTTCTTCTGTATTGGGAATCAAACTCAGGACCATGCTTGCCAGGCAGGCATGGCACCACTGAGCTAAATTTCTGGTCTGTCTATCTATCTATCGATCTATCTATCTATCTATCTATCTATCTATCTATTCTTTTTTTTTTTTTTTTTTTG